GAAACTTGTTCTGCCCAAGTAGCGATGGGGCTGATCCCCAGCAGCGTGAGCAGCAGGGAATTCTCCACCTCCTACTGAGCACCTGCAGTGCTGTGGTCCTGCTCTGCGGTGTGGTCCATCCACAGAAGAAGAACGTGCTGCTGCTGGAGCGAGTCCAGAGGAGGCAAAGGAGAGGGTCCAAGGATCGGAGCCCCTCTGCTCTGGAGACAGGCTGAGAGGTTGTTCAGCCCAGAGACAGCAAGCCTGCAGGGAAACATCAGAGCCCCCTCCAGTGCCTAAAGTTGTCTCCAAGAGAGCCGGCGAGGGACTTGGACAGCGACGTGGAGTAACAGAACAAGAAAGAATGGCTTCAAATTTAAAGAGAGAACGGTTAGATTAGATACTAGGAAGAAATTCTTCCCTGTGACAGTGATGAGGCCCTGACACACATTACCCAGAGAAGCTGTGGCTGCCCCATCCCTGGAAATGCCCAGACTCACCAGGCTGGATGGGGCTTGGAGCAGCCTGGGAAGGTGCCCCTGCCTATGGCAGGGGTTGGAAGTGGATGGCATCTGGGGCCCTTCCAGTCCCAACCATTCTGCAATGGCCCTCGTTCTAAGCCCGAAAGAACCAGAGGTGCCCATGGTGGTAGCCATGGACCAGGCTCTGCATCTGAGCTGTTACATAAAACCGAGCCCGTCCCAGCATTAGGAAAAACAGCACCAGACGCATCTAACTATGCACCTCGGCAATCTGTTCACACCACGGCTCCTCCACTGTTGTGGTTGCTGCCAACCCAGTTTGGGAGGTGAGAGAAAAATCGGGATTTTAACACAAATCCATGGCAAAAGCAGCACGCTGCCCTTTCGCAGCCGGCACAGAGCTGAGGGGCAACAGGAGCTGTTCAGAGGCAATGGCAATGTGCTCCTCACAAAGACTGCTGACCAAAGTGTCTTCATTGGGAATTCTGGAGACTCCTGCAATGTGCAGTGCCCACAAGAAAATGTGTTAATTTCAGGCAAAGCTTTAATTCCCTTTTATCAAATGTCTGCGATATTTTTAAAGAAAGTAACATGAAGGATGTGTTTCAACTAGGGGTGAAGCAGGGTGGTTAACAAAAGGTATTTTATTAAGGCTACAAATCACAAGCCACCTTGTCACTGCAAGCAATCCTAGAGGATTTCCAAGAGTACTTCAAAATGGGTCATCATTTTCCCTACACCTTTATTTTTAACCTATGAAAATTCCCATTTTCTCCTGCTGAATTATATAATATTTTATAGAAAGGAGGCATCCTCATTAGACCTGTGGAATTGTCACTGTTTGTCGCAGGCATCTCACCTCTACTCAGTGCAACTGTTTCACTTGTCAACAGTTTAAGCTCATCTCTAATGCCTCTGCAGGTATTTGAGTTTTGTTAGGCACTTGCTGAGTCTCTTTTCTTTGTAAAGAACTTAGCTATCCCAACTAGCTGTTAAGTGTCTGTCAATTTCCCTCCCTTCTTAGAAGCAAAAAATCATTTAGGCTGGAAGAGACCTCAAAGATCACCGAGTTCCAACTTTTGATCAATCCCCACCTTGTCAACCAGAACAGAGCACTGAATGTCATGTCCAGCTGCTCCTTGAACACCTCCAGGGATGGGGACTCCACCACCTCTCTGTGTAGTCTCCATCACATGAACTTCCATTCCAAATGGAATTCCAAAAGTCCGTTCTGGGATCCCCCAGTGTGGCCCCCACATCCCTGACCATTCCATGGGGATCCCCCAGCCTGGCTTCTGAGAAATATCAGGATCATAAGGGCAAATTTTTAACCCTCCACAGAACATCTCCAAGAGCCACACCATGTGCCTGAGTGCATTGTCCAGACACTTCTTGAACTCTCTCAAGCATGGCAGGCACAGAGGGTTTAGCCTGAAGGCACCTCCCAAAGTCATCCAAACACAGGCTTACTATACTTACTTTGTAGGTGCGTACTTTGTAGGTGCTAAAAAAACGAGGCACGATGCAAGAGAGACCAGAGGTAATTACTCTAACTCGTATTCACAAAGTGCTTTGAGCTGGTGAGTTGCAGGAAGGATGGAAGGAAGCAAGCAGAGCCTCAGAAAGGAAAGAGATGCTCACACCGTGATTAGGGTGGATGCACTGCTAACAGTGTCTGAGCAACAGCTGCTAAGTGTAGGAGGCACTTGAAAGAGGTGCCCCGTTTTGTTACACAGGGAAGTCGATAAGTTATTTGTGCTGAAAACACCGCACATTTCAATTCCCCGGCCCCGCCGCGGGTCTCCCTCAGCCCCTCACGGGGTCCGCCAACATGGCGGCGGCTCCCGTCACGTGCGCGGCGGCGGCCGCGCCCCGCGCGCGCGCGGCACCTCCCCCGTGAGGGAGGCGAGAAAATCCCCTCCCCCCCGCCTGCCTTTGCTCTCCTGAGGGGGCGGTGGCGGGGCCGGGCTGGGCGAGGCGGGGGCTGAGGGTGGGTCAGCCCGGCCTGGGCGGGGGGCGGCCGGCCAGGGGCCACCGGGGCCCCTCAGCGCGGGGCCGGTGCTCTACGTGTCGTGGGGTGTATTCCCACAGAGCATACCTTCGTTGTTATCATTATTTTATTATTTCGGAGCTCTCTGTCAAATACCGGAATGCCTGCAGGGGTTAGGCTTGGTGGAAAATTTTATTTAGTTTGGTTTTTTTTGTGGTTTGTTCTCTTGGAGTTGAAGGGAGAGGTTGTGAATTGAAAAAAAAAAAAAAAAAGAATAAACCATGTGGTTGTGGATGTGGGTTGTCAGCAGGGTTTGTTATTACCATGGCATTTACTGAAACTTTCCAAAACATGAGTAATGACATTCGTGTGTCCATTGTGAGGGTAGTTTGTTATTTGGTATAGAACACCAGGTATTTTTTTTTCCCTTCAGGTGGTTGCTCTGACTAAGAAAAATATAAATAAACAAAACTTTGGAATATCTACCTTATGCACAATGTAACTTGAAGTTCTGTGGTGTCTTGTACTGTCACTGCTTGAATAAATGCATATTTTCAATAGAGTTTTCTGTTGTGCTTTGTATTTTGGGCTCACTTAAATGTGTGCTGGTTGTTTCAAGTCAGTGTGTTTTACTAAAACTTTGCCTTATGGAGATTGTTTTGAGTTAATGTTGCTCAGGGAGCATCATTGCAAGGTCTTCATCATTAAACAGAATTAATTTTCTTAAGTTAGCATCTGATGCCTGCACGAGGTGAGGTGTCAGAGGAAAGAGGGAGATGCTGAGCAAAAATTTAGGAGCTCCTTACTGTACATCTTTTTTTCATTGTACATCCTTTGTGAGAACAACCTGAGCAATGACAATACTATTTTTGAAATAATTTTGAGTGAAAGGATTAACTGTTCTCATGGAGTAAACTTGTGATGGCATGGTTACTAATTGGGATATGTTACACATCTCGCTTATAAGACACCAAAAACGTGGCTGAGAATGAAGGAAATGAAACATCTAATGTTTTAAGCTAATTTAACTGGTTGTATAACTCTGGAAAAACTAGCTAGACAAGTTGTAGGTGTAAGTATTTTGAGGTGCTTTTAATGTCCACTGAAGGATTTTTTCAAGATCCTTTTCATTATGTGAAATTAATGTAAAGCCATTTTAGAAATGATGCTGGGTTTATTGCAGTTGGAGTGGGAACCCAGGTGTGTTAACTTGTGCCCTGATGTAGGTACACAAGTGGCATCAGTAGTGCACAACAGACCTGCATTTTCAGCAACAAATAATATTTTTTTCTTTAGTTCTAATAGCAGGGATCTCTGAGTTCAAAGCATCTTTGATTTCCACAGATTTTTTCTTATGGCAAAGTCCATGCCTTTGTCCAACGCAGGGGTAGTAAGGAGGTTTTTGGGTGACCACGTGGGTGTCACAGTTCAGTTGTTCTGCAGCATCATGGGCAGCCCTGTGCTTGCAGAGCAGTCGTGTTTTGGGAGGTGAGGGTGGCAGCCTGGCAGTGTCCTGTTCTGTTTCCAGCTGTGTCAGTTGAAACTCCTGATTATATTCCATTTGATTCAGTGGCCAATGGGCGGTTTGTTAGAACTTGGCAAAGCTGCTTTTTTTTTTCTAGTACATTGCAGCTTTCTCTGATTGTTTCTCTGAGTCCCTCTATGGTAAGAAGGAAACATCTTCTCAACCCTCCCTTTTTTTGGCATCCTTTGGAAAGCAATAAACAGCTACTATGTGATTTCCTGTTAATTGTAATACAAAGACTGAAAAAGAAACTGCAGTAAACACCCCCATAACATATATTGAGCTTTGTGATTCATTTCAGTTATAAAGATGACATTTTGTGCTCTGCAACAGAGGGAAGCCGCATAAGACTGGGGAGGATCATTTGAGGTGCTTAAATAGGTAGTTTCTTCTGTGCTTCTTGCTATATTGTGTGAGGTATTGCTGTTTAAAGGATTTTTTCCTGTATCCTTGCCCTCTCTCCCCAAACAGAGCGTTTCACTGGTGATTTTTGCCAAGAGCAGGTTTTGCTCAGTGTCTAGGGTCAGCCAGCATATTCATTCCTGGGCTGTGTGGGTGAGGGAAGTGCTACTGGTCCTGTGCAGCTAGCTGGCAGGAAATCTTGGATTTATTCATAAATTGGTTCTTTATTACTACTTTTGATGGATCTTAGAAGATTTTAAGCACATCTCTCAAGAGATTGCATCAAGTAATAGAAAATGCTACAAACTAAGATTAGTTATTAAGAAGGAATTCTTTACTGTAGGGTTGGTGAGGCCCTATGGAGGTTGCCCGTAGATATTGTGGCTGCCCCATCTCTGCAAGTGTTCAAGGCCAGGCTGGATGGGGCTTGAAGCAACCTGGTGTATTGAAAGGTGACCCTGCCGTGGCAGGGGGTGGGACAAGATGGTCTTTAAGGTCCCTCCAACCATGGAATAAAGCATTCCATGATTCTGTGAAACTTACATTTGAAAATAGTCGATTTTTCTGTCTCAGCAAAACATTCTTTTGCGTTAAAATCAGCACGTTGTGGCCTCGCTTGTGAATCACTTCTGTGTCCCTCCTGCCAGGCTGGACAAACGCTGCACAGCTATGGAGAATGAACCCAACACAACGACATGTTCTGCATCCACCACGACCGTCACCACCACCTCCACTTCCCGCACGCCGCTGCCGCAGATCTCCGTCTACAGCGGCTCTGACAGACATGCTGTCCAGGTACTGGGCCCTGGGGGCTTCCTCCCTGTCCTGTACAGAGCTCTGAACACAGGCACTTCGCAGCATTGACTCTTCATTCTTTATTGCTGTTGTCTTTTTCGATAGCTGGCTTGCTGGTGTTCAGGAGATGTTTACTGGAGGGTCTCAGACCACTTAAGGATAGTTCAGGGTAGGCCTGTCTCCCTGAGGGAGGGGGAACAATGATAGAAAGTTCTATGACAGAAAGTTCAGTTTGTTCACCCTTGGCTGAGGGTGCAGATAATTAACATAAACCTTTGTAAAATGAAGCTGTTGTTTGACCGACTTTGACTGGAGCGATCCAAGGTGTTCGTGTAGGTAAGTCCTGCTTGGGATCCAGCCCCCTCTTGCTTTTCTTGAAATTAGGTCTCCGTGAACTCTGTACACTCCATTCTGTTGTGTTTGATAATTGGGTTTCTCACACACTACTCTGATCTCTCAATAAGCAGAACATGTAGGATGTGTTGACAAGCAGCTGAGAGGCTGGGATGATGTGTTGGAGATGATGCTGTATTGTCAGGCTGTCCTTGAGAATGTGAATGTGTTGATGTTGACAATACTCTGTGACTTGGTCAAGAGCAGTGAGGGAGCAAGTTCAGTATGACATAATTGGTGTGAAAAAAATTTATTTGGCTTTATTTCCTTATAAGGGTAAACTTTAATATCATGTCAGCATGGTGAGTGCTTTGTAATTGTAATTAATTACCTACTGATTCATCACAGGTTATTCAGCAGGCCTTGCATCGTCCTCCTAGCTCAGCTGCTCAGTACCTCCAGCAGATGTATGCAGCCCAACAGCAGCATCTAATGCTGCAGACTGCTGCTCTGCAGCAGCAGCACTTAAGCAGTACCCAATTTCAGAGTCTGGCAACTGTTCCACAGGTGAGAGTGAAGATTGCTGAAAAAGAATCGTGAATTGTCTAGAGCAGGGCTGCAGTCATTGTCAAACGTAATAACAGCTTAAGTGCCTGAGCTTAATGCCTCATGATAATTCACTGTTATATTTAATGATGTTGTTATTTTAAATTGTATCATCCTCCAAACTGTTTGGGGGATTTTGCCCAGTGGTATAGATGCTCCAGTAGGCAACCATTCCATGCTTTATTGCATACATTATAATGCATCATGTAAATCATCAAGCAGTAATAAATATTAAAAATAGACTACTTCAGTCTTCATCCCATGATTTTCTCTAAAAGTTGGTGGGGGAAGCAATGAATGGCATTGTATCTTAGTGAAATAAAAAATAATGAACATCTGGCATCTTAGTGTGTTTTGCCTCACATCTGGCTGCATTTTAAGTAATGGCAAAATTAAATTTTAACCCTGAGTGTGAAAATGTAGGAGGTAAATGGCATTTCATATCTGAAACACAGCTTTTAACATCAGTGATCTCTGGAGGAGACCCATTTTGAATTAAAGCAGTAGCAAGATTTCCTTTGACCTCAGTTTGCCTTGGATTGAGAATATGATCTTGCAGAGAGAGGTGGTTATTAATGATTTTACACAGGGAAATGCTAAATGGAGTTATGGACCTCAGGGATATGGCTGTTTGGTGTCAGAACTGGACTGACTCATTTTTGCTCCTGGCTTTTTCTTCTATACCTTTTTCATTAGATTGTAGTAATATGTTGGTTTGTCTTTTTTTTTTTTTTCTTGTTGTGATGGATTTCTATGTGGATATACAGTTACTGGAAACAGAGCGAAGAAAATCAGTTTGGGAAAGGCTGAGGAGTTTTGGTTCTGTTCATACAGAAACCTAAATCACTGTCCCTGCTATTCATCTGAAGGGCTGGAATAGTATCCTGTGATAGACACTTGATGTGCATACATACGTTACCATTCCAGAATATGAGACTGTTCTGTGCAGCATTTATATATTTTTAGAAGATTCTAATCACAATAAAATTATGACATGAGTTCTAGATATTGCATTTTAAGTTCTGAGCACCATAGGTAGTGAGGTGATCACTTAGCTCCATCATTAGCAGTTTGGCAGACTTTACCTCTGATCATTTTTCTTCAAGTCTTGATCTGAAAGAATTATATGTCTGAAATTTGGCAGGACTTCAAGGAACTTAGCACCTTGCAGGTATCATTCCATAGTGCAGAGTGCACTTTGCTGAGCACTATTTCCACTGAGAAGCATCTTACTGTAAACTCAGAGAAAGGTAAAGGTAGAGAGGGCTGTTTCTGATGGTTTATGCAATAAAATGAACATCACTTAAGCACTTTCTGATTTCACTATTTGACACATATTCTTGCTATTTAGGCAAGCCTGTCAGGTGGGAGGCAATGTACTTCCCCCACTGGGAGTGTCACTCAGCAGTCAAGCATGTCGCAGACCTCGGTACGTAACTGCACCAAGCCCTCCCTCCATTCCCAACCCTGCTTGGTTGTTATATGGCTACAGGGAAACCAGAAAATATGAATGGCATTTCAGTTTGTATTGTTAAAATTAATACTGCAGACACAGTGAGCAGTATGATGACTCTGTAGTAAGTGCTGGGTGCTGTGTGTGATTGTTGGTGGCCAGTGTTGGCTTCCCAAGTCCCAGACCCCTCTTGATGCTCTGAGGGGCAGCTGCTCACTCCACAAGCACCAGTGGCTGTTCAAACTCCTGGAGAAATCACTCCCTGAGCTCTCATCTCTTCCATGATTTCTTACTGGATTTTCTACTTCAGTTTCTTTATTCAGGGCACTACTGTAGGTGAAAATCATAATTGTGTATCAGGGATTAAATAGCACTAAATCTAAAGAATCCAAGTAAATGCTCACATATATCTGTGATACTGATTAAATGTTTATAGTATTCATTATTTTATTGATTATCATCTTCTATCATTCATCTTTTTTGCAGTTTCACTTCCCATATTCTAGGCATGTGCTCGGGTTTCAGTTGTGAGCAGCTCTGTGTTCAGTTCATGCTGTATTTCTTTAAGTGCCATTGTCAGACATGCACAGTATCTTCTGTACAGTTTTACATCTGTCTGAAGTAGGATTTGTTAGTCCTACAGACATCCTGCTTATTAATCACACCCTCAAGCTGTTCATGACTCCAGTGTGCATAGCTTCAGTGATTTAACTGTGTATTTTTTTAAGCTCTCATAGCTTGGCTTGGCTTACAGTTGTTAAAAGTAAAACCATTTATTCATTAAATTTTGGAGGGAAATTCTATTAAGATGTCTGATGTTAAACTAACAAAATAATTGGGCTGGGGTTTTCCAAGGAAATCTTTTAAGTAAGTGATGAAAAAGAGCTGGGCACTTAACTCTGTTAGACTGAGAAAAAAAGAAAAAAGCAAAAGCAAACACAGCTTCTTTTTTTTTTAAGAAGATGCTAAAGAGTGGTTCTTGAGCATTTAAAATGAAATTGGAGAAGGTTTTAGTCTTCAGTCATTTTTCAGTATGCATATGTGAAATGAGGATTGCAAGTCCATAAGTGGTGGCACAAAGAAGTGTCCTGATCAGGTTGCATAATGGAAGATACCAGTCCAGGCAGTTAATATAAACATTTGAAGATCTTTAATATTAAAGTTCAGGTGTTTTTCTTAAAATGTTGAAAACCTCATTCTACATATTCAGTAAATGTGTATTTCTATGAGACATATTTTCAGACTTCATATCATTGTTTATACTTGTAAGGACTTATTATTATTTACTGCAAAGTGGTTGCTTGCAGTTTAAGAATAAAAACATACAATCTTACCAGAATCCAATTTTGTGGCGATTGGCTCAATATATTTTTGATATCTTCACAGTTCAGAGATTCCAACTGCCCCTGCCATTTTTGTCAAGGGCTTTCTGGCTTTAGACCCTAGGGTGATGGAATTTCCATGACAGCAGCAATATTTTTGTTTCCTTAGATTAACCTCTCCACCTCTCCTACACCTGCACAGATAATAAGCCGCTCTCAGACCTCCAACACCACCAGCAGCAGCATCACCCAACAGACCATGTTGCTGGGCAGCACCTCTCCCACCCTGAGTGCCAGCCAGGCTCAAATGTATCTACGAGCTCAGATGGTAAGTTTTGATTACAGTCCTTGCAAAGTTTGGTCTGTCCCTATTGGAAGATCTAAGCTCTCTTTCTTAAATATGGTAGATATTGGGCTGCTCTTTTGTCTTTTTTTTTTTTCCCACTAATTTGTAGTATTGAAGGGAAAGTCCTCTCATGTGCTTGTATGAAAGTTCATAGCTATGTTTATCTACCTCAAAGATTTTTCTCAACGTGCAGAACAAATATTATATTTGGTTTACATTATTCTCTTTTATTTTCTTTGTTTCTATTCTCTATTCTTTTCTTTGTTTACTAAAATTACCATGATAAATAGTTCTTTAAATAAATTAATCTAAAAGTAAAAAAGTAAATCTTAGGAGCTGTACATCAGTATGTGGAAGTATGGTATCTCTTTAAGATACTGCATTTCTTTCACAGATTTTTAACATTTCAGTCTGTTACCATGTATTTCTTTCTTGCTTAACAGCTTATTTTTACTCCTGCGACCACTGTGGCTGCTGTCCAGTCTGACATTCCTGTTGTCTCCTCATCCTCCTCATCTTCCTGTCAGTCTGCAGCTACTCAGGTGAGCTTGTCTCAACTTATTAAAGGTCTGCCCCGTCGAGTGGGACAAAACAGAAAAGTAGGGAAATGTTGTGCTTTAGTTTTTCTGGCTTTACTTTCACCCCAGACCAGAGAGCAGGTGAGCTGCTGGGGTGGCTCTGCCAAACTCCAGCTGGGTCACCTTACCTGTGAAGGTGTGCTGAAGGATTTGTCCTCACTGGGACAGGGTGGCAGTAAATGCCTCCTGAATGCCAGTGAGGAAGCAAGCACGGTTGTCTTGGCTTTGAATGTGCCCTGTGGTGACACACAGAGCAGTGAGAAGTGAAATGTAAACTGGCTGTTCATTACACAGGTACTAACTGTTGAGGGCAGAAGGGATTATATGATGTCCTCTTTTTCTTGTAAAAAATGATGTAAATTAGTGCTACAAGGGTAGGCATTACCCTTGAAAATGAAATTTTAGCTCAGCACATAGGATTGGAGATCTGGGATTATTATGTGCAGAATCTGGGTGTGGTAATTGGCTCTGCCAAACTCCAGCTGGGTCACCTTACCTGTGAAGGTGTGCTGAAGGATTTGTCCTCACTGGGACAGGGTGGCAGTAAATGCCTCCTGAATGCCAGTGAGGAAGCAAGCACGGTTGTCTTGGCTTTGAATGTGCCCTGTGGTGACACACAGAGCAGTGAGAAGTGAAATGTAAACTGGCTGTTCATTACACAGGTACTAACTGTTGAGGGCAGAAGGGATTATATGATGTCCTCTTTTTCTTGTAAAAAATGATGTAAATTAGTGCTACAAGGGTAGGCATTACCCTTGAAAATGAAATTTTAGCTCAGCACATAGGATTGGAGATCTGGGATTGTTATGTGCTCAGAATCTGGGTGTGGTAACAGACTTCAGTGAAAATGATCCCTGACTGATGTACATTTCAGAAAGCAAACTTTTTGTTTCATGTTACATTGGAGGGATCATGATGAGAAGGAAGGTTAATATTGGTTAATTTGGAGGTTAATATAGAAACAAAGGTCTCAGTTTTGTTAGCACACAGATGGCAGAGAAGACTCTGGTCCCACTGACCACCCAAGGCTCTGGTTTGTGGTGGTGTCTGGAAGCTCACCACTGCACTTCTGCACTGGCTGTAAAAATAAAATTGCCTTTGCTTAAGATGCCTTATGTCACTTACTTTGAGGGCACAATAAAAGAGAAAAATGAAAGTTTTAATTCAAATTAATTAAGAATTTCCATTTCTTTTAAAAATCCAATAAGGGAAAAAAGACTTCTGTATTTATCACTAAAGAAATAAAGATCCCTATCCTCTAAATTTCATGGCTTTAAAGATACTTTGATATGCAGATTTTTAGCTTCTTGTGATCACATGGGATGAGAAGCATTACAAAATGTAATTTTTTTGCTGTTTTTGCCTGATATTTATCATAGCTATTTATAAAGTTTGTGTCCTTTCACGTTTTGATCATTTCCCAGGTTCAGAACTTGACGTTGCGCAGTCAGAAGCTGGGTGTGCTGTCAAGTTCACAGAATGGCCCACCAAAGAGCAGCAGCCAAACTCAGTCCCTGTGCCCCAGTAAGGCTGCCAGCAGCTCCAAGGGCAGCCAGCCAGATCCCTCAGAAAGCAACAGGAAAGGCGAGAGCCCCGCTCCAGAGTGCCGGAGCACGCCGGCCACACGGACATCCAGCATCCACCACTTGATTACACCAGGTGGGATCAGTGTGCAGCTACAGGAAACTGATCTGTAGATCGTGGTTCTGTCAGACTTCAGTGTTCTCTGACCGTGTTATTGTAGATATTCCACATGAACAGAGTTCATATTTAATTAGTAAGTTCGCTTTTTTGTTGGTATTGCATAGGATTTTGATTAAGCAGAGGCAGGAATGTTCTTAAATCACAATACAAGCATAATGTAGCAACTGCAATACCCTGTTGAGTCACAGCACAAAGATGATTCTCATTCCTGGTCTCTCTCTCCTCTATGTTCGTTGTCAGGACATGCCATCCCATCTCTGGGCAGCAAAATGTGGGCTGAAACCACCTAAAGTCTCTTGCTCCCATCTAAATTCGTTTTATTGGTGGTTTGTTTCTTTTGTCTGTGTTGTCTGTGTCATGAGAATGTTCTTATATCAAGTACTTTTAGAAACCCATAGGTAACAATGCTAAAATGTTAGTATTTTGTATTGAGATAAATCAAAATAACCTGTACTTGGTTAGAGAGGCACACTGCATGCAGCATATTTGCATCTTAGCTTTCTTATTTTGAAAAAGTGATGGTAGTCTAGGCAATTGGTCTGAATTCTGTGGAATGTAGCTTGGCTTAATGACAGCTTTTAGAGAAAGAGTGGGACTTGGAGGCAGACATTCTGGAAGTATTGAACTCTAATGCTCTCAGAACTCACAGTGGTAAGAAAAAAACCCCATGCTTAGTAGCAGAACAAATCAAAAAACCTACATAAATGAGTTGTTTCTCAAGTGGACAAGACAAAGTTGTTTCTCAAGAGGTTTGCATGTGGAGGAAAATGTGTGTGTGCTGTAAGAAATGGCTGGTGAGTCACTGGTTCACTTAAAGGTGATGATTTCTCTGGAAGCTGCACTATTTTTAGGTTTGTGCCTCTCAGTTGCTGTGTTCAAATTCAGGCAAATGCTTTCAATGGTTTATATTATACTAAACTCTTGGACTTTTATTTAGTCTCTTAGCATAGTATTATCTGAGGTTTAACTTAACAGTTATCAGCAAATCCTGTTGTGCTTATCATTTCTCTTCCAGTCTGTTTCAAAGCAAAGGTAAAATCCATTTAAAGTTGTCTGAAATTCTTAAATTTAAGGCTGGATTGGCAACAATCTTAGACCTGGCAGCAAAAAGATAAATTTAGATACTTCTTTGTAGAAAGTATCTTTCTATATGTAAAAAGCATGACCATATCAATTTGTTAATTGCTGCATTTTGCTTTGGAAATTGATATACTCCCCTAATAAATTGTTCTTGTGTTCTGTGTGCTGTCAAAGAAGATATTTTTAAACAAATATTGGAAATGTTACAAATATTGGAAATGTTACAAATATTATGCTGATCTTTAAAGTGAGAAATTTTGAGGTATTTTACAATATTTTCAGATCTTGAAAGAAAGAAATACTAATTGTGACTTTTTTACCCTTCCCTCACAGCTTCATATTCTCCATTGCAACCTCATTCTCTAGTAAAACATCAGCAGATCCCACTTCATTCACCACCTCCAAAGATTTCCCATCATCAGCTGATCCTGCAGCAGCAGCAGCAAGTCCAGCCGATTGCACTTCAGACTCCTCCGGGCCAGGAGCCGCCTCCATCCCAGCACTGCCTGCCCCTCCCCAGCCATGCGCTGCCTCCGGCTCCCAGCAGCGTCCAGGCCCACTGCTCCCCTATCCACATCCATCCTCCGCCTCTCACGCTCTCTCCCACCCCTTCCCAGTCAGCTCAGCAGTCAGTGGTGGTGTCCCCTCCGCCGTCCCACTCCCCGAGTCAGTCACCCACCATAATTATTCACCCTCAAGCCCTCATCCAGTCCCAAGCCAGCTCCCTGGTGCCGGCGGCTCTGCAGCCCGAGCCGGCCGCTCCCCAGGCGGCTGCCGCCAACCCCGTGCGGCCGTCGCAGCCGCTCAGCCTCCCGCAGCACCTGCCGCTGCCGCCCTCGCCCGCCGTGCACATCGGGGCCGTGGAGCCGCCCAGCTTGGTTTCCCCGGGCCAGCAGCTCGTGTCCTCCGCGCCACACCAGCAGTATCCAGCCCTGCAATCCGCTCCCATCCCTCTGGCAGCTCCGCCTCAGCTCTCGGCATCCTCAACCCAGATTCAACCGCTGCCCCTGCAGTCTGTGCAGTCTTTACAAGTGCAGCCTGAAATTCTGTCCCAGGGCCAGGTTTTGGTTCAAAACACTTTGGTTTCTGAGGAGGAACTTCCTGCTGCAGAGGCTTTGGTCCAGCTGCCATTTCAAACTCTTCCACCGCCGCAGACCGTCGCAGTAAATCTGCAGGTGCAGCCGTCAGTTCCGATTGAAACTCCAGTGGTGAGTGATAACATCGCATCCTTTATTCTTTCCCTGGCCTTCTCCAGAGCTGTGAGTCAGGCCCGTTGACTTCAAAGCGACCTAAATCAGGTGCTAGACAGGGGACAAAAAACCTATTGATTACAGAACTGAGTTTTAAGAAGAGAATAGTCGTGTTTCTTCTGTTTCATGTTTTGGTTTGGGTTTTTTTTTTCTGCTTTTTGCAATGGATCATCAGTCAAGAATATCAATCAGGAATAACGAAAGTGTAAATTTAAGATGTAAAATTTTGTTTCTTAATGAAATTACAATGTATTTGAAGTTTAAAGAAGTAAGTAAACATATGACAATGTTTACATAAAGAATTTTGGTAAATATTATGTGAGTACTGTAAACTTTTACTTCAATACAAATAGATTTTGATTAGGAGAACAATCTGTACTAGGTGGAAGGTGCATATCAGGTTATTAAGATGGTAGGTTTCTGGGTTATTTATTTTGTACTAGCATTAATAATATTCTCTTCATAAAAGAATAGGGGAATTTTGATGCTGTTTTGGCAATTCCCATCACCACCATTTAATTTGGTCCATGTTTGTTTCAGATGTCTGCAGTTTGTAATTGAAGGTTTTGCCTTCAATCTCTAGATTAGAATGATGTACAAGAAAATAAAATGTTATGCAAATAAGGCTGACATTTGAGGTGATGTTGCTGGGCTTTAGGGTAAAATGCTAATGAGATTAAGATGAGCAAAGGAATCAGCAGCTGTTGTAGGCTTTTTTGAGCCTATCAACAGGTTAAGGAAGGAGGTGTGCTGTTCATTTTCAATTTATTTTAAGAGGGTAATAATCTCAACTCTGGTATTTCATGGAGAAATTGGACAAAAGAGTAGGAGCCAGGTTTGCTTTTGACAGGGTGGTGTTTTACATTTTAATCTGCTGTCAGGAATTTATGTAAATTTATTTTAATGCTTTTGAGGGAAAGATCTTAAAACCTCTTATAGCCACTAATGCTTGATAGTCTTGGTGTACTCTTTTGAAATACTCAGCTTGATTACACTGCTGTATAAGATAGAACAGACTTGTCATTAAACTTGCATTTTGCAGATGTATTTAAATAACATCAAATCCATGTGTAAATAAAAATAACAGTAAACTATACACATATGATATTGAAACAGTCAAGTTCTCTGCTCTGTTTGATTGGAGAACTGTGCTTCTTTATATATGGCTGTTTGTAACAAAATAATTTTACTGTCATAGATATTGTGATGTCGTCAGAGTTCATTGTTTGGTGTGCATTTTGGGAACTAGTATTTTATTAGAAGATTAACATATTTGACCTAGTAATTTATTTTTAAAATTGTATTTATGCAACTCTTTTAAGGTGTTAAGATAGAATGGAAATCTCTCTAAAGCAATAGTTTGTTGGATGCAGATTTACCAAGTGGAGAATGTGTGTGAAGAGGAGATGCCCGAGGACTCAGATTGTGTCCACATGGCAAGAACACCTACACCACCCACCTTGTCCCCACCTGCCATAACCTTGGGCAATGGAGAGGCTCTTAATTCAGAAGATCCTTTGTCAGGTGAGGACAACTGCCAAACTAAGATAGCTTTTGGTTTTGTGATTTGTGTAAGTAATGGCCAGCTATGTTTGTAGCTAGCAGGTAGTGAGTAAAGGAAGATGTTTGCATGAGGAGGGTGTGTTTGTGGAATAGTCTGTTGAGATAAACAATCTTGTTTTAAAAGTGGAATGTATAAAGCCTAGGGAAGAGCCTGTGTTAGGGGTTGATAGGTGCAGAGAAGGGTCTTGGGGATTTATCACCTCTTGCTGCCTGATTCTGAGCCAGTGGTTGGACATAAGTGATAAAACATAACATATTCTTGTTATTTTTTCCAGAACATGGGGGACTGCCTTCAGTGACATCATCAGTCAGTGCCTCAGTAATTAAATCTCCATCTGATCCTTCCCATGCCTCTATTCCACCACCCCCTCTTTTGCTTCCAGCAGCAACGACAAGGAGCAACAGCACATCCATGCCCAATAGCATTCCCAGCCTAGAAAATAAACCTCCACAGGCTATTGTTAAACCCCAGATCCTGACCCACGTCATCGAAGGCTTTGTGATTCAGGAGGGCTTGGAGCCGTTCCCTGTAAGTCTAAATTTGCTAGGAATTTTTTACTACTAATCTTTGAAATTAACTCTTTGTAAGAATGGTGTTATTTGTGGCTAGTTGATATTTAGATCTTGAATTATGTTTCAGATACTGGTTTTGACCTTTTCTCCATTGATTGGTGACTTGAGTAGTAGGCTATATCTGGAGATAACTACAGAGAGTGGGTTTAGGCTACCATTTGGAATGACTTCTTTACATTTGTCTGCCTCCTAGGTACCTCTATTTAATTGATACCTTAATTTGAACCTCAGAGCTGAATCTGTTAAAATTTTAAAATGCTACAGTTTGTTGTTTCAAGCACTGGCAAGCTCTTAACGGGGCTAGGTGTAGTTAGTGCAGTGTCTGGTAAGAAGTACTTGAAGTAAGTAAGTAAGAAGTTGAAAATTTTAAATCACAAACTGACAATTTAAAGCTTGTCTTTCTAATTTAACGTGTGTCTCGTTTTCCCATTGCTTCATTTCTGTAGATATAATGTGTTTCTTCCTTTGTTAAATATAATTGTTAACTCTGCAGAGCAGGAGTGAGTCTTAATTTGTTTGAGAAATGAACTTTGGCACGATATAATTACACTTCATTGATATGAGATACAAACTGAGCATCTTCTTCTGAGAAGATTGAAAACATACTGTTTTTAATTATTCACTGTTGTGAATAATGTTAATTACGCTCTGTTGCTTTGCTTTTATTGCACTAGGTCAGTCGTTCATCTTTACTGGTGGAACAGCCTGCAGAGAAGAGATTGCTGGTGGAGGGTCAGATCATGAGTGTGGTGTGTGTTGAATCAGACTTGCAGAACACAAAACATGCAGACAACTCATCAGACACAGAGATGGAGGATATGATTGCAGAAGGTTTGTAGTTTTTGTTTAAATGCCCATTTCCCCCCTCCAGTTCTGTGTGCTGGAATCAAACTGTGGCCTGGCCCAGAAAAACCAAGTTATTCTGTGAACATATTTTTGTATAAATTCATCTAAGATTTGAAAGTTCAGAATTTTGTAGCCACTCCTGGGTTTTCTTTCCCACAGCTTGTATCCTTATTGCACCAGAGTTGTTTTTGGTGATCTGCTTAAATTTAGTCTTAATGCAAGTCTTTCTTTCATTCTCTTAAAATAGTTCTGTTCCTTTTTCCATATCAGAACTCTTTGCAGCAGTTTTTTTGTCCATAATTTGTTTCATTAGATGTTAATTCAATTTTCTTTTCAGTGTGAACACTATGCTGTGTCTCAGATGTCAGACAGCTTGTCTATTTTGTGGAATTATACAAACACTCATAGCTTTGGGTTTAGTTTTGGTTTATCTCCTGACAGCTGGTGTTAGGTTTATGTAGAGAATTTGTAACTACTCATTAGAGCTGGTAGGTAACATCCAACATCGAGACACATCCATGTACATATCATGTGAGTAGAGGAGATTTGCTGATAGTAAATCAGGGTATGATTGTGTGTGTGGCAGAAATGCCCTTCTCAGTATTTCCAGCTCTTTGGTAGTGCTTTTTGTAGAGCAGGAAAAGGGCCATCTCACCTCCTCAATAAGAGAAAAATACTCTGTAACAATAAGCTGTAAATTAGCAGATGACATAATCCTTTTCTTTGTTGCATGCAGCTTATCTTTTTCATAGACTGAATGTTACATATATACAAGATTCAGTGTTTTCTTTGCTTTCACAAGTCCCTTTGGTTGTAGCAGCTGCTTCTTCAAAGAAAGTACTTTAAAAGGTTAGTTCATTATGTCATTATAGAGGGTTTGCATTTATACTGTGGAAGGCCTGATTCTCTTAATGAACTCTTTATGAAGCAATTCATGAGGAATGTAACCCTTCTTTTTTAATTGCTTGCTATGTTTGAGGGCAGACCTGCTCATGGGTGGCTTGAAATTCAACAAAAAACTGATTAAGTTCATTGAATAACTTAATTGAAGGTTCATTAAGATTCAGTTTGCTCCAGATCTTTTCTAGACAGAATGAAATCTATGACTAGCTTAGCTTTGCATAATTGTCTGTTAATCAAAGTATTTAATTGAATGTGTTAAATATTTGATGATCTTTTGCCTGATTGAGGTGAGAGATGTGAACAAAATTTTATGTCATTGAAAGTGACTTTATTCCTCATTCCTTCTTTAGAGGGACTGGATGAAATTGAAAATGATCTTCTGAAGTGTGAATTTTGTGGGAAAATGGGATATCCCAATAAGTTTCTGCGGTCAAAAAGATTCTGCTCCACATCCTGTGCCAAAAGGTAACTCTATATAGTTATTGTTTATCATTATCTGCTAATGGATTAATCTCTCCTGGTTAACAAAGCAAGAATTCACAGTCAACATCTGAATGAAAAATCTTCCACTATAACAACTGGAAAGTTGATGTTTAATACCATAAGTTTTAGAAATGGGGAATGGTTTCCCATTTGTAGTCGCAACTCAGCTCTTTTTTGGCATCAGTGTGTCTGCACATGACCTTTCTCATATGTCTGCTACATTCCCATTTAGGTAGTGGGAATATATATTTTTGATTTGGTACCTTTTGGGACACCACCAGCAAAATAATCATAAAGAGATTTAGTCCTTTAATCTTAACATGGGATTTTTGCCTCTGTCCTCCTTTGACTGGGTGTCAGCTAGGTAGAGAAAATGGAACCAGAAAATACAATGTGATTTTAGGTTTTTAGTGGGCATTTCAGAGCAGAGCTGTACTATGCAATAAAATGCAAAGGTATTTCTAAGAATGGGAAGGACAGACATCTTCCAGGGGTAATCTGGATGTACTTGATCCCACAAAACGAGATGAGGGTTTTGATGAAGTGGCCTTTGAGATACCTTTCTCTTGTATTTCTGTGGCAGCTGTTGTTGTAATTAAGCAGCATTCCTACAACACTGTGATGTTATGGTTACTTGATTGAATTCAGTCCAAAAAAACTACTAGTGCATTATTGAATATATCTTACTTCTTCAGGCACAGCCTTAGTTGCACTAAGAAATTTGGGCTGTTTCCATCAGACAAGACCAGTCGTTGGAATCGGAAGTCAGATAGCCAAAGTCTTGGGCGACGCGGGCGTCGGCCGAGCGGCCCTGAGGGGGCGTCACGAGATCATTTTCTTAGACAGGTCTGTGGAATATTTGCTTAAAACTATGGCACCGCTTTGGGAATTGCAAATAAAGCCTAATACTGTAGTTGCTACATTTTCCAGCTTCCAATTACTTATCCATCTGCAGAAGAAGATCTGGCTCCTCATGAAGACGCTGTTCCGACGGCCATGACCACGCGCCTGCGGAGGCAGAGTGAGAGGGAGAGGGAGCGGGAGCTTCGGGAGCTGAGGATGAGGAAAATGCCAGAGAGCATCGACCTCTTACCAGTGGTGCAAACTGACCCCTCAGTATGGACTGTCGATGAAGTTTGGGCCTTTATACATTCTCTGCCTGGTATGGAAGGGGCAATAGCTTGTTCTGGTGGTTTTAACAGTGAAGTTCCTTGCTTTATAGCGGCACTGTGATGAGGAGGTGCTGTGGTAACAGCAGCAGTGTTAGCTGGTGATAGAGACTGGAATGTGATTTGTCTCCTCTTGCTTGTTCCTTCAGCACAAATCCCATGTTGATAGAACTAGTCCCACTTCTGCTGTTGCATCCCAGCTGATGGAGATTAGAGCTGTTCCTTCCTTCAGTCTGACTTCTCTCAAGAGGTCAGTAGAGAGATCAGACGCACTTCCTCCCTGTTACACTGCTTTCTTCTCTTCCTTTCTCACTTCCTTCTTCTCTTTCTTCCTCCCTTGCTGCTTATTCAGTAGAAAAAGCAAGAGCAGTGTTGCTTCCCTTGATACAACTGAAAAGTTTGAAAGACCTGTCATGATACAAATCATTAAAAAAGAATAAGCAAGTTTCTGCTATAAAGTAAAAATTTGTTTTGCATAGGTTTGCTCAGAGATCTTCTGCCTAGAAACTCTGCATACTGCTAGTCTCAGTTTGTTCTCAGAAAAAAAATAAGTTTTTTTCCTTGTTTACAAACCTTTCCTTTAGATCGATACTCACTGTTACCTTTGTGTTATCTTCAGGTTATTTGGCATTTATAATTTCCTAACTATCAAACCTTTAAAGCTTCACTCCCCACCTTTTCTCAAGGATGCCATTTTATCTAATCAGACACTGCAACCCCTACAGATAAAAGATAAGGCAGATCTCCACAGTAGCAGTCATACCAGAATTTTTTTTGTTTACCCATTAAACCCCAGGCTATGTTTATTCCTAATTTTCTACTTTTTCTGGAATGCTGTACCATTTTCTTGTGAATCTCATTAGGCTATTAATCTGTAAGGAATATATCTTCTCTGCTAAGTCATACACATGCATTGTGACAGACAGTCTTTTGCTGTCATGATACAAATCATTAAAAAAGAATAAGCAAGTTTCTGCTATAAAGTAAAAATTTGTTTTGCATAGGTTTGCTCAGAGATCTTCTGCCTAGAAACTCTGCATACTGCTAGTCTCAGTTTGTTCTCAGAAAAAATAAGTTTTTTTCCTTGTTCACAAACCTTTCCTTTAGATCGATACTCACTGTTACCTTTGTGTTATCTTCAGGTTATTTGGCATTTATAATTTCCTAACTATCAAACCTTTAAAGCTTCACTCCCCACCTTTTCTCAAGGATGCCATTTTATCTAATCAGACACTGCAACCCCTACAGATAACAGATAAGGCAGATCTCCACAGTAGCAGTCATACCAGAATTTTTTTTGTTTACCCATTAAACCCCAGGCTATGTTTATTCCTAATTTTCTACTTTTTCTGGAATGCTGTACCATTTTCTTGTGAATCTCATTAGGCTATTAATCTGTAAGGAATATATCTTCTCTGCTAAGTCATATACGTGCATTATGACAGTCTTTTTTAGTAGGTCAGGCAAAGAATTGCATAAGAGATGTCTAAAATTGGCAAAAGTCATCCATGAAGCACCTTTCTTCTGATAGTTGGTTGCAATTCAGTAACACTGCTTCTGGGAAGCTGCAGTGATGGATGTAGAAACAAGCAAAGCTCCTTAGGTTTGGGACGTGGTTGTTTCTGTACTGGAGCTGTGTTACGGACTGTAGCTCTGTCACTGCTGTTTTCAGTTACTGTTTTTATGGATTCAAGACTCTAGGTAGCTCAATAACTAATCCTAGGCTCTCAATAAATGGTAGTTCCTGTGCTAGAATAACTGAAGTGCCACATAAACACAATTCACTTGCAAGTATGAAACTTTAAAATGTATTCTTAAAATGTGGTTTCTGTTTTGAAACCATTACTTTTACAATATTTCACCAGCTGCTGGATCTGGTTTAGTTTTTTGTATTCTATAAACAAGGTGATCTTTGATTTTAAACAAACTTATATTTATTTGTATGTAATGAAAGTTTATTATAATTACTCATTCATCTCCATATGAAGGCCTAGTTTCTCAAATACTTTTTTTTAAAAAAAGAAGTTCAATAGATATTTAAAGTTATATTCACGACCTGCCAGAATTTTTGTTGCTACGTTGCTGCATTTGGGTTTTTGGGTAATTTTGGGGTTTATTCTTTTCAGTATATTCTCAAGTCACTCTCTTGAAAAAATATTTTATCATATACTTCCAAGATTGATTCATGGAAATAATATAGATTATTTTCTTTATGGCATTTTATATTATATATCTACTTGGTGCAGTCTGTGCAGACCATCTGCCATGCTGTAGAAGATGGTGATTTGTCACTTTTCCATTAACATTAGGAACATCTGTTTTCATTTACAGCTTTCTGCACAGTCTGTAGCTGAAATTGACTTGTGTCCTTGTCAGGCTTTTCCCGAGTTCCTCTGGAGCCTTTTGGAGAAGTCAGTGTCCAGGACACTTGCACTGTTAGCTGCTTCTTGTGGGGGAAGAGACAGAACAGCTTAAGCTGAGCAGAATTGTTCTCCTTTCTGTCTTCAGTTGCAAGATAAATGACCTTTCATCCACTCTCCACCCTTTTCTTTTGGCCAAGTTATTGCACAACAAGCAATTGCAAAAGTGCTTAAGAATATACCCAGATGTGCTTGGATGTGGGAACTGCAGTACCTTCAACTTCCATGCTCTGCTTTTCCAAAAATGACTTTGATAAAAAGTATTTAAGATGTTGGACAGAAATTGCTTAAAAGAAAAAAGCTGGCAACAACAAACATCCAGTTTTCTATTTCAATAGGACCAGTTTTGTTCCTAAATGTAAGAACTTCTCATGATCTCTCAGACTCTTTGTAAATGGTGTGGTCTGACAATCACAATGTTCAGGTCTCAAATCAGACATGCCATGATGCCTTTCCCAGAAATACTCAATACTTGACTTATAAATGTTTTATCTGTTGTCAGCACTTCAATAAGAAAACCTTTATGATGGTGTCAGAGATGATTGTTACATGAGGTCTGTTTGGCAAATAATTAAGAAAATTTGTGCTCTATGCTTTGTGAAAAGCTAACTTTTTCAACCTTGAATGTTACAACCTTCACACAGTGATAATCCAAATGAATTCAGGTTTGGATGTTGATACTTCCTTCCATGTTTCCTTTCCATTTGCCTTGTACACATTTGTAAATCCATCAGGAAATTAGGCTATCTATTCTTTATGGAATTTAAATCTGAACACACAAGAAAGTATGAAATTAGTTGCTGTCATCTAGGTAGAAAAGTTCTTCACAGTAATTTCATATCTCTATAATAGTGTACTTTTAAAAAGGGAAAATGTAAAAATGCCAAAAAATAAACTTCCTTGAGAAATAATTGACATGAATGGAAGATGGAGCACAGATTCAAGTGTGTCTGAAAGGCTCTGACACAGATGGAGAGACTGCTGGTTTGAGAACACAAATGTGTTAAAAAACCCCGTAAAAACATGGTTTGGGGAAAGAAGCTTCAAATAAACAACTGACAATGAGTGCTCTCATGGATGTTGTTGTTAGACATTTATCCATCTAACAGAGCTGCCACAGAGTCAGGCAGCAGACTGATCCTGCTCAGCACATGTCCAAAACATCTTTGGAGGAACCTTTATTTCCACAGTGTTCTTCAGTGGAAAGGGGCCCTCAGTTACTTGGGACAGTCCAACCCATGTACAGTCTTTTTTTTAATGTTGTGATCTTCAGTAACCTGAGACTGGTATTTCATGTTGAGAAAAGGAGTTTAACTTGGGGAAAAAAGATCCAACCAGTTTAAAGTTGCACTTGTGAAGTGAGTTACTGCTGTGTGTAGAGTATTCACTCTGATAACTAATGATAAATGTCTTCATGAGATGGTTATGTCAAAGCCCATACATCAAAACTTTGTTTCCTTAGCTCAGTGGTGTAACACACAGATGGAATTAACTCCTTTTGGAAATGGTAGCTGTTTGGATGTTCTCACTGCACAGAGCAGTATAATGTATTTATCATTTATAGAATTAGATAGTCATATCTTTTTATTGCTGGAAAGAACCCACTTGAATTATGTTCCTGATTGGGAAAACGGCACTGAAATAGCAATCTCTTCTAATGATGAGAGGTTGTTCCTCTTAATGAAATGAAAATTCTGTCTTTGCTGGGACTTGAAATTCCCAATGAGTAGTTCTCCAGTAAATACAGTGTAATTAGAGGCTGTAGTAAAAATTATTTTCGTATTATTTCAGAATTCCCATCATAATACTGAACTCTTGCATGTAATTCAGGTTCAACAAGCTATAGGGATAAGCACTGGAAAATGTGTTGCTGAAAAGATCTGGTGTGGACAAAATCTGGTGTGGACACTGGATGTAAGAATGGGCATTTCTAAACCAGTAATCATATTTTTTATTGCCTTTAGGTTGTCAAGATATTGCAGATGAATTTAGAGCACAAGAAATTGATGGACAAGCTCTCCTTTTGTTGAAGGAGGATCACCTTATGAGTGCAATGAATATTAAGCTTGGACCTGCATTGAAAATCTGTGCACGTATCAATTCCTTGAAAGAATCCTAGGAGGTGAACATGAAGGTTTAAACAACAGTTTCTCAGTGACAGAACCAACAGTAATATGCCAACATCTTCACTGTGGCATGAGTGTTACTGTGATGTTTTGTTAAGTAGGTGGGGCTCTCCCCACATAAAGACTTTAAAATGTTCCTTTGATTATACCAGGAGTCCTCTGTAGTTTTCAATAACTAATAAGTTTATAGTAAAGCCTGAGTAATGCTTTGAGTTGAACTTTTTCATGGAAAAACATGAAGTGAAATATGCTGTGATAGGTTAGATCTTCCCCAACATGTACACCATCTTATGAGTTATGATTAACACCCCAATCCCCACCCCAGTCTAGACACCATTTGAATTGTGTTGCTGTATTCTGAAAGACTTCTCCCACATACAGCAGTGTTTGGACTGAACTAACAGAAGTGTCCACAGGCCCTGTGGAAGCACTAGTACCAGTAAAATGCTATGCATTTAGTTGTGCTCTCTGAGTTTGTTTTAGTCTTGAGCAAATTGTTTGTAAGGGGTAGGTTGGCAGCTGGTTTTCCTCATGTAGGCTTACCCTCATCTCTGCCACTATAGTATTTTCTTGAAGTCTGTAAAATACTATAAACCATGTAGATGTCTCATCAAAATCCTCATGATCAGGCTACTGACACTCCTGCCAGAGGTAACTGAAGCACATGTTACTTTACTCTTCGAATGCTGCTATGCACTAAGGGGGCATTAAGTGTTAGGTTTGTAGTTTCATATGCTGCTAGTTAAGCTAGACCAGCAGTTCTCAAATGGGGGTTCAGAGTGGACCCTGAGGAAGAGTGTGAGCATTTGGGGTTCAGGTTCCCAAATGCCTGGGTGTGAGGGGCTGAAAACTGCAGCCAGGACCAGCTCATGTTGAGACAAATTGCTTTAGAGACTGGGGGTAGAGAAGGGACATCATAACTGAGATGTTCTTGGTACCTCTTCTAACATGTCTTTCCCTGTAGTGCATTCCCATTGCCTCACTGGAAGCTTCCAAGCACCTTTTCCTTGTCCTGTGGCCAGTGTGAGCTGTGCTTGCAGTACTCTGAGGAAGGAGCAGTGAGGCCCCTTCAGAGCTTGTGCAGGAGCAGCTGCTGCTGCCATGAGGGAGCCTGGAGCTGCAGGTGGGCAGGAGGAATGCCAGCGTTGGCAACTCTGGGAGAATGTCCTGGTTTAGGGCAACCTTGGGAGGACCAGGACAGAGAAATATCCAGGGGCCCTGCTTTGTCCCTGTGGCAGGATGTTTTGTCTTGGATGCTGCAGACCCAGGAGGTGGGATTTTAGTGTCCCCCTCCATCTTCCCTCTCTCACACTCTGTGGAACAAATACATTTCCCCAGTTACTGATGCTCTTGGAAGCTGCCTGGGCTCTGAGGCAGCAGCACCTTCTTGGCCTTTGCTTCCCCACCACCTATGCACAGATGCTCTTGGATGCATTTTGTCCTTCTGTTCCCTCCCTTTTGCAGCTCCACTCCCCTTATGTACAGACCTGGTTCCTTAAGCTCTTGTTTAGGGAAAGAAGGGTATGTGTGCTGATAGTCATTGTGTATATTTGAATTAAATATGTGTATGTGTCTGCAAATAATGTATTTTTTTTATTTTATGCAAATTAATGCATAATATATGATCCTGTAGGGAGGTATTCAGGGGGCTTTACAGTATTCCTGAAGAGAAGAGGAACTGACCTAAAGTTTGAGAACTGCTGCCCTAGATCAAAAGGAGTCAATGCACATACACTGGCTAAAAGGCAGGTTTGTGACAGACAGATTAATATGTATATTATTTAACTGATGACCTTAAAGAGTAAATTTGAATTACAGAAAAATCTGTGCTTCATTTTCCTTTAATTAGACTATTGCTTTGTTTCCACTGACAGATTTTCTACCTTTACCTTCTGGAGAATAACATTAGAATCATTGTTCTTAATTACAACTGTTTGAGCTTGCTAATAGCAGATGTTATTAATGTTTTTGTTAACCACTGAAGCTGCAAGTTAGGACAACACATTGCAGTTGCACGCTGGTATGTGGTGAGAACCCTTACCCAAACAGCACCAAAGCTTTAGAGGATGAATTGATGCCTGGGTTTATTTTGGAGGGAAGTTGCTAAGCACTTTCTAGTTTGGTTTTTTTTTTTTCTATTTTCATTTACTGTTGTAAAATAAACTTCTTAGTTGAAGTTCCAATGTTTGCTAATGTTCATTTGAAAGACATTCAAATGATGGAGACAGTGGGTTCCCATTTGTAGCATTTCTGTAAGATACACAGTGTAGCATATCTGTAACATATGTTCTAAAGGATATGTTCTGTTTTGATGAGCTAACTGAAGACTAAAGATATCTTAGATATTTATCCTTTGGCTTTTGTCTTAAAGTTTTATTATTTTTATACAGAAATCTCACTGGCTAATTTTTAATCTGTCTTCTGATTGTACTGTTCTTAGGCAATGTAAAAAGTAGAGATACATAAATGTGGTTTGATAATGGTTTAAGGTGTACTAGAAAATGTGGATTTAGGGGTCTTATTTAGACCTGTAGTTAATCAGTGTTACATGCATGAGAATTTCATGGCTGCTTTAATTTTGCTTTATTAGACAGTTTTCAGGAGAGCTTCTCCAGCTAGTGTTTGTGTCCAGCTCAGTCAGAATCCCTGCCAGGTGCCAGGAGCTCAGAGCAGACCCCAGTAAGGCACATCTGGTCCTGTTCATCTGGTATGTAACATTCCCTGTGGATTTGGGAGAGCCACAGATAATGAGTTATGCTTTAAATATTCATAAATGCAACAGCTTAGAATGTGGGCCTTATGCATATTGAAAGTTTTTTTTCTTCTTCAGTGGTTTTGGCAATTAACTGGAACTTAAAAGTTTCTAGTTTGGTACCAACCTGTACTGATAGAAGTGCACTTGTACAGGAGTGTTTGCTAGTGTAGCTGTGTCAATAAAATGAATTTTTTAAAAAGTCACACTTGTAGCCTACTTGTGAAAGTAGGCTGTAAAATTTCCAAGTGCAACTGAAGTCTGCTTAGGAAGCTTATGAATTTTTTAAAAAGTCACACTTGTATGTGAAAGTAGGTTGGAAAATTTCCAAGTGCAACTGAAGTCTGCTTGGGAAGCTTATGAATTTGCTCCAAAAAGCAATATAATACAGTATTATATTGAGTAATACTCAATAGAGTAACAGTCCTCCAGAACCATTTTATGTACTGGCCACTTGCTGTTCAGAGAGGTGAGGTTTTCCCAGGCTTATACCATTTCCCATGTTAGGCTGTACCCTCTTCCAAAAGAAGAAGTGTTAAAGATTTTAATTGTATTTTAACACTTGTTCCCACAGGATGTGTCTACAAGAAATCTTTTTTATTCTCTTTATGTCCTGGGATTTTGCTTTCTGTATTCAGATTTCTGGTGTGCAGGCTACCCCTCACAGTAATGTTTGCAGTATTTCAGCTTCTGTAGGAAGAGGTCAGAAGGGAGATACATTCCATGGCATTTTCCCTCCCTTTTTCTCCACCACTCTCCATCCTACCCTACTCCTTAAAGGAAACTGCAGCATTAGCTCAGGGCAAGGCCCTTTTGCAGAGCACTGGTCTGAAGGTGTCTGTCAAGATTTCATCCAACAGAACAGAACTGGGACACGTGTCTCAGCTTCAGGGTTTGTTTGGGGTTCTAAAGAATTGCACATGAAAGATCAAAAGGGGTGTGCAGCCTCCCCTGATCCATCTGGCTTGTATCAGCATCCCTGCTTTGCAGCAGGAGCAGGGCACTCCCCTGAGGAAGCTTGTCTGCCTCCACTGACTTGAAGGGCCAGTTGTTTTGGCTCAGCAGAGAGTGTCTGAAGGGGTTTTAAACAGGCTGCATTGTAAATCCATTCTTTACCCATTAACCCATCATTTTTTTTCCCAGAAATGAAGTTCTTGATGGAGGGTAAAGCCTTTGCTAGATTTTTGTCAATGAGACATTTCAAATAGATAACCCATCATTTTTTTTCCAGAAATGAAGTTCTTGATGGAGGGTAAAGCCTTTGCTAGATTTTTGTCAGTGAGACATTTCAAACAGATTTGTGTCCTGCAGGCATCCATTTCCTCATTTTTTTCCTGTGAAAGCAGGTATTTACCCCCTGACTTCCACCTGTGCTTTGTCCTTAAAGGAATCCAGCCTTTTGGATAGAACAGATTGAATTCCTTTGTAACTGCAGATGTGGCAGGAAGAGGAAAGGATTAAAGGGTAAAACCAACTGTTTGGGCAGATCTGTGATAGCTTTTGCATCATTTCTGCACCTTGAAGTGGAAGGAAATTTTTAGGTACAAAACCACTGAAGTGTAATTTGAATGGAAGTTCAGTGTGAGACTGGGCTGGGTGTCAGTGCCTGGCATGGCAGCTACAACTAATGCCAGTTTCAGGTGAATGTTCTCATTCCAGTATCACAATATCCATGCAGAAACTTCCACCTCAAGAGCTCAACAGATTTCTTACACAGTGACAAATTACAGCTCTGAGTGATCAAAGAATTCAGTGACAGCTGTGTTGAGTCCTGGTTTTGCAAATAATTAGACATCCCCATAATTTATAACATGAGTAGTTCTGATTGTACTGAGACTGCTCATATTAAAACTCAGCATGTATAAAAGCTTGCAGTGTTATTTTCTCATCAGTATTTTATAGAGATGTCCTGTTAACCTATATTAGAAATATATTTGTCATCCTTACCCAGGTATTTCCTCATTGATTGTTTTAGGTTGCAGATAATGACTGTACAAAACAATCAGTCTAGGGTAGTTTTTTAATATGCACCTGAGTTAGTTTATTAGAGATGGAGAGAAGCTAATATTTTAGAGTATTTTGTTTTAAATACCCTGTTCCTGTTAAATGCTGAGTGGAACAGGTATGAGCAGAGCTATCAATGAATAATTTCAGTGTAAAGTGTTAATTACTCATAGTGAATTAATTTTCAAGTCACTCTTGCATAGTCACCTGTAGTTTCAGACAGGAAATACTGTGAGGAGAAAGAAATTTTTAATTCATTTAACGCTTGGTTCATTTAAGATGAGCCTAAAGTAAATTAATTTTAAAATAATTTGCCTTTAGTCATGAGAGTTTATTTAGACCTGAAAGGTTCTCTGTAGTTACATACCTGGATGGCTTTGCAAATGGTGACATTGGGAAAGAGACAGTAGTAGTGCTCCAGTGCCAGCTGTGTGGGTTTTTCAGGAAGCTTTTTCAGGAAGCTGTCCCTGGTCTGAGCTGATGGAGTCAGGGCCTGGGACACACACTGAGCACCAAGGCAGTGAGCACACAGTACCCTAATCCATGAGAATCAGCCTGGTTTGTTTTTACCATCTCATCTCTTTGGAAATCTCACATTTCCTTCCACATTCAGTTTCTGAGAGTGGCATTTTGCTCTCTTGGGTGTCAGCTCTGAGTTCTGGGGAGTTTTGTGTCCTGCCTCATCCCCTGGCTCTCAAGGTCAGCACTTCCACATGTGCTCAAGGCCCCATCCTAAGCTGCTGTGTAGGTTTGTGTAACCTCTGCATTAAAACACACACCTGCTCATTCACTTGAAGGTTGCATAGTGTTTTCTGATCTCTTACAGCAAAGTGGAATTGAAAAAGCAAAGTTCAGAGCTTTGAATATGCTGGTAATTGCAGGAATGGAGTAAGTTCATAGTCCAGCTTTTGTAGCCATGGGTTTAACTTTTCTGAAGCACAGTTCTGGGAGCCAGTGTAATGAACTTTCAAGTTAAAATTTTTTACATTTCCAGCAAGTATTCCTGTTGAATTATCCAAATGACTCTGTAGAGTAAGGAGCTAGAAAAACAAGATTTTAAAATATATTTTTTCCATCTAGAAGTAATTGTAACATGAGCACAATTGTGCATTTGTAGAATTGTGATCATAAACACTGTTTAAGTGCAATAGATAACACTGAGGGAGCATTCTAATGGTGTTTATGGAGCACTGCTTGGGTGCATAGGGTTGTTGACAGGCTCGGGGTGTTGTTGCTAGGTAATAATCAGGGTATCTATGCTGATTATGGGATTAGGCTTGAAGCACAAATGTCTTTGATTCATGAGGTAGATCTGCTTTGTGAGTGAAGCCTGGGCAGCCTGTGGAAGGCTTGTGGTGTCCTCCACTACCCAGCCAGGATGCTTCCATCCTCTGGCAGCTTTTTGCAAATTCAGTTTTGGAAAGAGCAATGAGGGATTCTACACACCCAACTTCCTTTCCAAGCAGTCTTTGTGTTATAGGATGAACAAGCCAGTACTGACCAGGAAAGATGTGTGTAAAGATGAAGGGTTTTATCATTGAGTGCCAAATACTCTGTTCAGAGTTGAAAACACATAGAATATCTCATTAAAATCAGTGTTGATAAGTAGGAGATTCTTTAAATGAGAAAAGTACAGAAGTCTCCCATAAAGGTTTAACACTTTAGCTGCTGTTAGCATTAATATCAATACTGTAAGGTATTTGAATGGTGTAAGGCCATTAGTTGCTGGCACAGCACAAGAAGTGATGTACCGAGCAGTGGTTATCTGTAGTTCTTTTATTTCAGATATTTCCACCTTCCTGGCACAGCTCCTGTCCTCTCTGGCAGTGAAACTGTCACTAGAGAGGGATGGTTCAGGCACCAGTGTTGGGACTGCCCAGAAGCACCAGGTTAATAAAAAAAAAATACAGAGGAAAAGACAATTGTTAGGAAGGCAGTAGGATGGAGATCACTGCACAGCTGGTGTCTCCCTCCATGAAAGTAAGGATAAAAGTGGGCTTGCAAAGAGGGTTGCCATTAATATGTTTTAAAACAGTTCCTTGGCAGGCTCAGGCACCACAGCTGGATGTTGGTGGAGACCTGCAGTGCCACTGTTGCCTCCTCAGTGGAGCTGGCAGCCTAAAAGCTGATGCTCTTTAGCACTTTTCCACAAAAAGTAAGAAAGAATAAATTTGACAAGTAATACAGAGATGTAACATCAATCCATTAATATTTGTTTTGGCTGCAAGTTGTGTGTTCCCTGTAAAAAATGTTAAAAACTTCAAGTGGCTTTAGGAGCACTGCAGCAGCTACAGGAATTCTGGCACGTTAGGGCAGATGGGGTTGGGTAAACTTTAATTAGGGCTTGAGAAGCTGAACAACACTGATAAATAAAACATGTCAGCAGCCTCACCCAACTGGTTGCAGTTCCAGTTCTGTGCATGTTAGTGATTCAGAAGGGTGAGACTTACCATGCAAAACACACCTGAAATGAACTTGAAAATAGCTTTTCCTTCATCTGGTGTTGAATGAACTTTAAAGGAGGAATTTCCCCCTGCCTGCCGAGTCTGTAGGAATTAGTTATTTCATGATTCTGAAATGCCTGGTGCATTCCTATATTTGATGTATTTGCTGATTTTTAAATGGAATTAGGTTTTGTAAATATTTTGTCAGCCCCATTTCAGTGGGTGTCCAATTTCTATAAAACCTAAAGAAATGCTGTGCCCAACGCCTGTGTCTAGCCATGGTTTATCCTATAGCATCTCCAGCACTAACTAACAGCAATTGCAGTTTGAGGGAGCAGGGAGCAATTCCTTAGGGTTGTTTTTGCAGTTAACATAGCATGTGTTTTCCTGCTTTTAACATGGAAATAGAATTTCCTCCAAGTACATTTTCCAGCATAAAAAATGAAATAATTTTTGGTGCCAAACACTTCAAACTATATTGCTAAGCATTGCCTCCTCTTATTGCACTAGTTTTTAAATTCAGTTTTCGATCATTTACTGTCCTTTTGATGGCCTTTTAAATAGGTTTTCCCCCCAAACCATTTTCTACTGCTGAAAAATGCTTGTCCCCTTTTGATTACATTATTTCAAAGAAATTTACCACAGACTGGGGGTGAAAAAAGCACTATGTGGGGTGAAGTAATCAAAATAATCGGATTTTGGTATGTTTCAGAAATCAAAGATTAATTTATGATTGAGATGTGATTGTGTATTCTTATGGAGTGAAATACTGGAATATTCTTTTATAAGAAAATTTAACCCATGTAGTTTTAAATTCTGCAATTAAATCTATCTCTATAATTGATATATAATAAAATAAATTATTACCCAAAATTGAAATTTTACAGTTTCACACAAAGAGCACACAATGAGCTATGTAAAAGTGTGATCTTCACTTTGTGAATCACTTTTTAAGAAGCACTTTCCTATTGCCAACTAGCATGTGAATGAATTTTAGATTCTCTCATTTGTTATGATCTGTAAAAGTGACATTTCTTCAATCTGTCTCTTAATGGATAAATCCATCCTACAAATGCTGAAACAAAGCACCTTATACTATGCTGCTTAAACTTGCTTGTAATTGCACCTTTTGTTATCTGCAGAGTTTTCTTAATGAGTATTCTTGTGTGAAATCATTGTTCCCTGTGGGTCTGGGGGACAGTTAACCAACCTACAGCACCATTTACTTAGTTTCTCTTTCAATACAACATTGTATTGTGAGTTTAGTGCTTCAGAAATAAATGCTAATTTCATTTGTCTGCTTTGGTTGTGTATCATTTATTTCTCTTATACAAAATCAAATAAGTCCATTTTAAAACTCTAAGAATTTGAAAACTGACAGTATTTTTGCTAGAAGCCTGACTAATTCTTTCCTTGCTGAAGTTGTCCCACTTCATATTTAACTCTTTTTAAGTAATTTTGGCTTCAAAATAATCTATATTTTAATTTGAACCATTCTTTAACCTTGGGCGTGCATTTATGTATAGCAGCTAACCTTGATGCTTATTGCTTTAATTATTTAATTATTAATATGGTCATGTACTTTAGAGGAACAGCAGCAAAGGAACAATGAAACAGCACCTCTCCCGTGGTTGTGGAAGTTGCACATCTTGCACTGGTTTTGCACTATATAAAATGTCTATTTCTGTAGGAGTCGTAATTTTAACTAAAACAAGTTATTTCTTGTTAAACAGACAGCAACCCTTACCTTCCATCAAGCTGACAAAAATCCACATTTTAGCAACAAGATACACTTCAAAAAGTCATTTGAACGTTAGGTCAGCGTCTGCATGTAACTCCAGCCGTGAAGACTTTATTGCATTTTGTACTGTAAACCTGAGATAATTCCATTTAAAGGAAGAGTAGAATTCTAGTCAGAAAAATGACTGAAAACTTGTCCTATATAAGCAGTGGTTTTTTAAACGTGTAGTTGGAAGATGAATTCCCTGACCTGTCAGTGCTTGCAGTGCAGTGTTCACTGAAGTCTTGCTAGACACTGGACTTGTTTCTATGGAGTGAAGCTCTGGAGATGTTTCCTTGCGTTGTCTGTAAGGACCCGGCCACCCAACATCAGAGTTCTGCTTCTTTGCAGCCCTTTCAGTCGGCAGCTCATTAACAGATGACAATTACTGTGCCTGGCTTATCAGCTGGCTTTGTGCTTTCATTGTTGAACGGCATAAAGCAGAATTTCCAGCTGACAAAGGGGTCTGTGCACCACCCCTCCTCCGTCAGCTCCACATCGTGGCACCGGCACCAGTAGGCTGCTGCCAGGAGAAAGCTGTTGATGAAGCACAGCCAGGGCACGTTCATCTCCACATAGGCTGGGATCTGCACACCCAGGAGCACAACCACCACCTGGAGAGCAACAAACGGTGCCCAAGTGCCAAGGAAACACAGGAGGAGCCTGCTCAGGAGCTGCCACTTAAAGCAGGTGTTGTTATTGTTGTTAGGCACGTAGGGGAACATCAGCACGGGCTGGCTGGAAAAGGAGAGGAGCCTGGCAGACAGCAGCATGGTTGTCACCTCCTTCCAGCCAGCCAGGAGAGCCGTGCCCAGCAGCAGCACCATGGCCCACGACACCGAGGAGCTCTGCCAGCTGCCAGAGAGAGGGCACTGGGAAGGGGAAACGCTCTTCTGCATTTGCAGCTCTTCAGAGACAGCAGGAACTTGGAGAGTGCAAAAAAACCCAGAAATCCATATAACCACCACGGCAAATCCATAAAGTAACTTCCGACCTCTCGTGGGGACCTGGGATGTTCGGGAGACAGTGGTGTAATAATCCAGGGCAGCCAGCAGGTACACCGGGTAGGGCAGGACCCCGTAGGTCAGAGAGGCGATCTGCGTGAGGAGGCAGATGTGGTACTCTGTGAATCGCGCGCCCCAGAGCGCAAAGTCCTCAAAACAGAAAATGAAACACATGCTCAGCAGCAGTGTGAAATCGAGAAGTGCCACTGAAACGCAGAAGTATCCCATGAAACTGACTTTCACAGGCCTTGGCTTAATTTGCAACATGAAGAAATCGAGGAAGGCTTTTCCAAGCATAATCAGGACCAGCATGTAGCTGATTTCAAGACGTTGGCTGGCGTGGGTGCAGTGGTGCTGAGCAGAACCATTTTCACAGGGTCTGGCAGCCATCCTCCAGCAGTGAAAACAGCAAAAATAAATGTCACAGGGCACAGTGCTTCATCTCTGAAAAGAAAAAAAAAAAACATTTGTAGAAATTTATTTCTGTGTAGCTCTACCAATTAGTTCCATCATAGCAACTACCCAGTTTGTCTGATTTTTTCAGGCCCCTTAATGAAGAGTAAAGAGCTTCACTAACTCATCATTAAATTATCAACAACTGCCTAAAGTTTGTTTTCTTTGAATTACATTCTTGAGAGTTAAAAGGTCAACATAATTTATTATTTCTAGCTAATGACCCAAGGAAAGGTGTAGGAAAAAAGGTTGACTATGTTGCTTTCCTTTAGAGGTCTTTCTGTCCAGCTTCTGTCCAGATGACCAGAGGGATGGAGGTTTCAGAGCTCCTGCATATTCTGAAAAAATTACAGGACAGAAATCATACAAGACACTGCAGGAGATGCTGCAGCACAGCCTCACAGTTCATTATGCTCATAGAATCTGTAGGAAAACGAGACTGCAGAAATATCCTGAAAGCAGAAAAAGCATCAAGCATCACCTCCTTTTTTGGTGGAAAAATCCTGGAACTCCAAGGCAATCCAAAGCACAAGGGCTTCATTAGTGAATTGGATTTTTTTTGTTCATCTCTAAGTACTACAATGACAGAGACCTCAGAACAGCTGGTTTTCCCTTTAGACTTCACAAGTTTCTTTATGGTAACTCTTTTCCAAATATTAATTCCTAAGGAAAATGAACATAGGGTGGCTCTGCGTATGTCAGCAAGACAGTGTGGACAGTTTTATCTGATTTCTTCTCTCTTTCCTTAAAGAAGCAGGGTGGTGCCCGTGATCCCAGGGAGAGCAAAGAAGAGGAGCCAAGGCAGCTGTGCTTGAGCTGACTCCTTGGCTCTGTGTTAACAGCGAATTGTTTCGGTTCAAGCAGACACCTCGTGTTAGTGCACGTTTGAGTTCGTGTGTCCTGAGAGCAGAGTCAGACAACTGCAGGTCCTTGGCAGCACAACCTGAGAAGCATCCATGGAGTTTGTTTACAAGCCTACCTGGGCTGGCCGCTTCACTCTTCATCTGCACAAGTGCATCCTCTGAAACCTGATCTGTGTTACAGTACGGCTTAATTCCGGTGTGTTCTGTCTTCATGTCCTGGATGCTGCACTCGGGCACGCAGAGAGGAGAGAGCCTGCACGCAACCAAGGTCCCGTTCAGTAAGAGAATAATTAATACTACTATTAATAGTAATAATAGTAAGGCGGAATCACCTGTCGGGGCCGTGCGGGCACAGCCCCCATCCTGCGCACAGAGATCCCCGCGGCTGCCGGCGCCTCCCGCTCCTCGTCCCGGCTGCTCCCGGCGGGGCTCCGCCGCTGCCCGCGGCCCTCCCTGCTCCGAGGGGTCCTGCTCCGAGCCGGAGCCGGAGGGAGGCGGCCCCGGGGGGCTCCGAGGGGACGCCCGGGCTGTCCCCGCCCGGCCCCGGCACCAACCTGCGGCTCCGCGCTCCCGCCCGCGGGGCCGCCACCTCCGCCCGCCCCAGCGCGGGGACCGGGCGGGACCGGGCGGGCGGGGAGCGGCACTGCGGGCTCGTGTGCAGGGAAACAGGGCATGACACAGGTAACACGTAACGTGTGTAACATATAGCACGCGTAACAGAGCATATATAACATGTGACAGCTGTTAAGAAAACATATAACACACATGGCACATATAACACCTAACGTATAGCACGCATAAACATAGGACATGTAACACACAGAGCACATGTAACAAAACATTTAGCACGCTAAACATAAATAACACATACAACAGCCATAGCACATGTAACACATAGCATTTAGCACATAAATAACACATATAACATGCACAGGACATGTAACACATAACATTTAGCACACATAAATAACACATACAACACACAGAGCACATGTAACACATAGCATTTAGCACACATAAATAACACATATAACACACAGAGCACATGTAACACATAGCATTTAGCACATAAATAACACATATAACATGCACAGGACATGTAACACATAGCATTTAGCACACATAGATAACACATATAACACACAGAGCACATATGACATACAGTACATATAACACAAAATAACTGCCCTGGGGAGCAGGTTCTGTGTGTTGTGTTTGATCCCCTAGCCATGGGAGGTGAAGCAGCCTCGTGGTGCCCCAGTGCTGAGAACAGCACGGTGGGATGCCCAGGTCCTTGTAAAAGCCACAGATAAATATTTTGGGTTCTAAATGTGCAACGTGTGTGGGGAAAAAAGGCGATGGTGGGGCACGAGGGTGCTTCAGGAGGAGCCCCCGGGTCCCCCAGGACTTGGCTGCATGGCAGGGAGCACAGGATGCTCCCTCTGGGAAGCCCTTTGCCCACGGTGGGTATTGTTTGATGTAGCTGTGTGTACAAAGGAATCAAGTGGCTGGCAGGACTTCTGAAAGTAACTAACTCTGGAATTAAATTCAGATGTAAGCTGTGATTTTTTTCACCCCCTATATTTTTTCTTGTCCCTCTCCTCCCCCCTTCCATGGTTCATCTTAAGGATTAAAGAACTTGAGGGGGAAAAAAGTTCTGTGGTTTGTTACGTTTGGGTTTTTTTACAGAAAAACAAGATGATCAGTACTGTCTAAAACCTGATAGCTTAAAATAAACTTCAGCAGTATTTATGCTGACCACAGTTATTTATCCACAGAGTGTTTATTAGGACTGTTGCACAAATTGGAGTATAATAAGAAAATGTTTACATCTGACAGAGGTATTGCAACTTCTGAGCACCCAGTCCACCCACAACTATCTGAATACTGATGCTTTCATAGTTGTTTTCTTCTTAGTTCTAACCCAGGGCAAAGCAATATTTTCCCAGTGGGAGCAAATGAACTGTTTGGATGTCTGGGTTTGTTTCTGTTCATGTCTTTCTTTCCGACTGCAGAAACTGCAGAACGGGCCTGTGTGAGGAGATGCCTGGCTGTTGGGAAGGAAGAACCAGGAGGGGACAGAGACAATTTAGACATTTTTTTCTGCTGATAAAAATTCCGATGAGTGTGCAACCTCCAGACTGTGTCAGCTCTGTGCTCAGTGAGCCTTCTGGGGGAGTTCCTCAGTGGGGCCCACAGCTCTGCCCACATTACATCCCCTTTTCATGTTGTGTCTACTTGTCAGCTTCCCTTTCCCTCCACCACCTTGTGCTTGTTTGAAAGTTTGCTTTAACTCACTGGTTACTTTTGCTTTCTGCTCCTGAGTGCTGTACCTCATCTTCCATCCCAGAGAAATGATGGCACAAGATGGGATATCCTGGAAATCAAATGCAGGGCTTGGTGCCGGCAGTCCTTGCTAAGTCAGGAGCTGCTCACTCCATGTTGGATAAGGGCTGCTTCTTCCTTTACAGGAAAACTTGCAGGTACGTGACCAGCACCATGTGCTAAATAATGTCTTGAGCCCATCCTGCTTGGTTAAAGAGGCTGCATTTATCTCCATGAGCAGCAATGGAAAGCTTTAAAGAATTAGTTTATATTTGCATGGAGGCAGCTGTGTGTGAAAACAAGAGAAGAGACTCCTCCTTGAGGAGAGGGGTACATGAAATAATCCAGAGAATCTCTTCTAAAAGCTGTTTGTGTATTGAAAGCTCATGCAGTGGTTCTGTGCTGTCTGTTTAAGACATTTGCACAGAAGCTTCCTTCCTTCTTAGGGCTGTTTCCTGCTGCTGGTTGCTCATATTTTGGGTTCTGTTGTTCAACTCAATGGAAAGGAACTTTCCTGTTTCCTGCTGGTCTTTTCCTTAGGGGAAAGGAACAAGAAAAAAGATCACCTCTAATTTCAAATCTGACAATAATTTTCTGAAAGAAGCAGTGACTGAACAAACTGTCCTCTCTGAGAAGGTGTTGGGCTCTGCCCTGTCCTCCCTGTGTGCTGGAGCTCAGCACTGCAGCCCCAGGGTCACTGCAGCCTCTGAAGTCCCTGAGGAGGAGCAGTCAGGACCAGCAGAGTCCCTGCTCGTTGCTGCTGCCTGAATCAGGGCAGGAGGTTTCCTTCAGACAGGGGCAGGTGCAAATAATGAATACAACTCCTTTACAAGGAGCTGTGGGGCTGTGCTTCCTGTGCAGTTAGAGCTCAGTCTTTACTTTCCCCCTGCTCTTCCTGTCTGAGATGTGCTTTAGAAGTTCATTGCCACCAGTCCCTTTATTGTGTTGAGCAGAGGAGTAAATTGAAACCACACCTCTGTGCGTTTCAAGCAATTTATGTTGGCATCTTTGACACCTCAAGCCCCGTGGGCAAAGACAGGGAGATAAATGCATCTTTATGCATTTTGGTGTCACGTGTGGGGAAAGCTGCACACTGTGAACTCCTGCAGAGATGCTGATGAACATTCCCACTCCCAGCGAGGGGCTGGGGGTGAGTGACTCTGGAGGAGGATGGCCCCACAGCCAGGGGCCACTGGGATGTCCCTATGGAATGTTCTCTGGAGCACATTTGTCCACGGGGTGAGTGCCAGTCTGCCAGCCTTGCCTGCATCCTCCCCGTTTCCCTGGCTGTGCCTTTAACTGGGTGTAGCCCAGCTGAGCCTGTTTAATGCCCTGGTGGGGTTTGTGCCTTGTCAGCACTGGATTAGCAGCCCGGCTTTTGCAATGGCCAGGGGTTGTGGAGCTGCTGTCCTGAAAGGCTGCGTGGCTCAGACAGACAGAATATTCTTTAATTTTAATAATTAACTAATAGAATATATAACCAGTAAACTGTTTAAGCAACTATATTTTTAACAAACTTTACTTTTAAAGAAAAAAATGCTTGATTGATGTCCCATTTGCAAGATGTTTTATTTTTCAAGAACCTTTTAGAAGAACAGAGTATGTGGTGGATCTTCATTTTGATCAATTGAGGTGCTCATCTTGATAGCAACAGGTTTGTTCTTAGGAAGATCTTGTTGAGGAACAAGAAACACATTTCCATAGTAATTTTAATTTGAAAGCTTTTTAAAAATAGAATTCTAATTCTGCTTATTCGGAGAAAATCCAGAAAATGCCGTACAGAGCTGGTGTCAGCCCTGCTGGATTTTCAGGAGTGGTGTTTCCTTGGTTTGTGTCCCTGCTGTGTGCTGTCACTGCACAAGGTGTCACCTTTCCTGCTGCTCATGATGTCACTTCAGTGTCAGTGGGTCTTTATCTTTGACACAAATATTTTTTCAAGGAACTGGGAAAAAGATGGTAAAAGCAAGGCCCTAAAAATTGCATTACATGAACCAGCAACCCAATTCAAGGTTTACTGGTCACTGTAACTCAAAACTAAAATTAAGACTGAAGCAAACGTGGAGTGCAGGGTGTGATCAGATTCTCTTTTTGTTACTCACAAACACCAAAGCAAAGCTTAAAATCTTTTGTAACCTTTTAGGATGTTAGTACTTCTTGGTAGACTTCAATTTTAAGCAAATTCTGTTGTGGCACTTTCATTTAAAAGGAAGCTAAAAAGGGGGAAGATGTAATTTCAATGTCACCTTCAGTGTGAAGAATTCAAAACTCCATCTTCTGAACCCTTACAAACAGCCTAATTACTGGTTGAACACTCACATGTCAGAAAGAGAAATTAAGAGTTTACTGTGAAGGCCAGTGAGAGTCACCTGGGGCTCTGCTCTGTGTTTTTATTGATTAGCAAAGGTAAACTGTCAGTTTCTCCCTCCTAAGCATCTCCATCCCTCACTAGATCCAGGCTCCAGGGGACTTCCTGGGATCACAAGCTGAGCCTTTTCTGTGTTTGCCTGTTGTACATGATGAGGATTAATGGTTGCTCCCACCTGCAGAAAATCTTTGGTCTTTATCTAAAGCAGGATCAGTGTTTACCCAGGACTGTTCCCTCTTTACTTCAACTTGCACTGAAACTGTTTGCACAGTGCTGTTGCTAACTCTAAAGCAATTCGTCTCTCAGAAGTCTTTTATCACAAAACATTTTTTTTTTCTGTGATTATTATTTTCCCATAAAAAAAAAATAAAATACACATGGCAAAGCAAATGCCTCTGTGTCAGCCAGGCAGTAATGGACTCTTTGTGGGCACTATCAGGAAATGTGCCTTTTGTTTTCCTGCACCTGTTACTGAATTACAAATAAAATAATCCAATGCTTTATTAAATAAAATGAGAAGCCCTAATGAAATTGTACCAGCCATTACCAGGAAGTCTATTGAAAACATTCAGCAGCTGCTTCAGTCTCAGTTCACTTACACTGACAGGATTGTTTCCCCCTTCTCCTTGTGCTCTGAGTGAGAAGGGCACAGTGCCTTGAGCCACCTCACACCACTCTGCTCTCACTCCCTGGGGAGGATTTGGTCAGTCAATAATAAAAGATGCTCAGCAATTAAGTACCTTGGACTTGTAGAAGTTTGTTGGAAACCAAAGTCTCAGGCCTTGCTTCTGAGTGTTTTGCAAACATCAGCTTGTCCTGAAAGTAATAAAACAGCTAAAAATCTCCTCTTTGATTCTGTAGAGAGGGGTTGATCAGAAAGGTTAAGAATCAAATCAGTGAGTCCTTCTCATTAGACAAAATACCTCAGCAGCCTGAGGAACACCCTGAGTGAGCTGGGGGTCAGCCTGGCTGCAGAGTTAAATGTCACCAACTCCTTCACTAAAGGTCTCCAAGAGAATTGATCTGTCTCTGCTGTATCTGAAAGTCAACACATCTATC